TACTTCAGCGACAGAAAGGAGCGATAAATGTGTTGAGAATGGTGACTTAATAAGCGTAAATTAGATGAAGCACAAGAACGAAATAATGGAGCCCCCAGTAAGTATCGAACTCACAACTCAGTTGAAATTGATCTAGAAAGACAAGTATGCTAACCATTACACTACGTCGAGGTGCTTTAAAAAGTGTTGCATTTACACTGATAAGAAATGTCCTCTAAGCAAGGAAATCAGAATGAGGTCAATTTGAACCCAGGTGGATTGAATAAAACGCTCGGTTCAAATTCCTCAGACTTTTAAGGTGAATTGGCAAAATTGTTGCTTTCAGCATACCTTTATCTTGACCTTTTACTGTTTGGTCATTCTTTCAAGATCGTTAATTTGATAGGATCAAATCGGATGTTAATTTGTTCAGAAGATTCGTTCCATTGAAACTAATCCGTTACACGAATCGAATTCTCTACAGTAGTAATTTTCAATTCGTCTGGATTGCTAAACTTGACTCTACGCATATCGTAAGTTCTACTGCATGTGTTGATTTTCCTGCTGGCAAAACTGATTTCCCTTTTGTAGATATTATTTGTAGCCGGATCGAGTTTAACTCCGTAGTCGCTTCCGACTAAAGCGATGTTTGTTTCTCCCGCTGTGCTGACTTGACATCAGTATGTCACGTTAACGCCGGGGAATATAAAAGTAACGCGTGAAGCTTTCCGTTTTAGTCGCGCATAATGAACTCAGAGAAAATATTGAACATATATGAACTCAGCATGCACAAAGTTGCAGGAAAACAGGAAAAGTAGTGGGCTTCAGTTTATCGCAGGTAATATTTAAAATCCGTTTCTACAGAAGGATGCTGAGAATGTCATAGACTGACCATGTGATCAACGACTATGTTTTAGAAAAAATGAAAACAAAAATCACTCTCATATTTAATATCAGAAATGGCCGGTTGAAATGTCTAGGGCACATACTGAAGAAAAGGAGCATGGAAAATTTAACACTTACAGGAAATATTGGTTTGACGATAAACTATGTCCGCGTCCTGGGTAAGACGATAAATTACATCCGCGTCCTGGGTAAGACGATAAACTACATCTGCCGTCCTGGGTAAGATGATAAACTACATCCGCGTCCGGAGTAAGACGCTAAAGTACATCCGCTTCCTGGGTAAGACGATAAACTACGTCCAACAGCAAGGCCCCTGATCAGGAGGTTTTGTGGAGCGTGAAACCACCCTGACCCGGGGTGGTAGCACCTGTTAGGGTCCCAGCTATGGGCAAATAGTTAACTGGGGCCAAAACACTATCAAAGTGTAAAAATAGGTTTTATTACCAGAAATACTTTGTAAAAAAAATTATTACCAGTAATACATTAAAAAAAAAAGATATTACCGACTATATATATTTGAAAAACATATGTTACCAGCAAAGGAAAATTATTACCAGAAATAGATTTTTGGGAAAAAGTATTGCGAACAATGAAAATTTTGTCGGAATTAAATAACCCATTGACGTTGATATATCGTAAAACAAACCAAACCAAGCAAATCAAAGGAAATAGTGAAGAGGGCCAGAGAAAACCAGAGCATAACATTACCTAATGAGCTTTTGTAAATGAAGAGGCAAACAGGATGTAGGAGGGATAGTAAAGGAAGTAAACTAAAAACTGGGGTATTTAGAAAAGGTATGGAACTCGAACAATCTACACCCGTGGACTAAATAAAGGGTTCGAATCGAAATTCCAACGCATATCACCTGAAGAAGGCTGGAGAATACAGCGGCGACAACGTCGTGAACATGGCAGTAAAGATGAGAACAACAATCCGAACGATTTAAATAGTGCAAATAATCTTTGTCACGTTAGTAGATGCAATCATCGACTTGGGAACCAAGAAACAGTCAAGGTATAGAAATGAAGTTGGGCATAAAAGGATGAAGGGCAGATCATGAGGATATTTATGATAGATAATGGTTAACCCTAGCCTTGTTTTGCAAAAAAAAATAAAAATAAAAAAATCCATATCTAAAACATATAAACTTAAAAATTTTAAATAATTTTAACAGAGCGCGTTCACGTGTTTTTTTTAAAGATCACCATCACAAAGATCACAGATGCAATAAGTTTGTCTATATAAAGATGATCTTGGAGGAGATAAAAAATATTCGGGTTAGAAAAACCTACGGCGTCTTTCTTTATGAATTTCATCTTAACACCAAGAAACTTATTAGAGAACTAGAAAGGAGTATTATAAAAATAAATAGACTTAATATGTCTATATTATTCAATGAATCGTGTTTGAATATATATATATATATATATATATATATATATATATATATAATAAGAATAAGTTTTTGTTTTCCATGTCGACAAATATGAAAATTTCTCCGACATGGAAAAGAAAAACTTATTCATAAATATTGTCTTTTCTACTGGTTAAATCGGAGAAATATATATATATATATATATATATATATATATATATATATATATATATATATATATATATATATATATATACACAAAAACTAAAATAAATCAGTGTTATTGGTGAAAATTATTTTTTTCTCTATTGAATAATGTTATTGAAGCCATGCCAATTATGTGTGAAAAATAATATTGCCCAAATGTCGGCCAAAACTTAAAGAAAAAGAATAGAATCATTAGACGCTTCAAATTAATTCACATTAAAATCGGTTCAAGTTATGGGAACATCCTTTATGTATAGGGTGTCCCAAATTTTTGAATTGATAATGAAAAACATTGTAAATTTTATATTTATTTATTAAATGAAATAACGTTTCTGTATGTGACAATATATTATTATAAAATTTTATTTGCTTAAATATGGAAGAACATCTCCTGCAAAATTTCCTGCGGTAGCTATTTCGTAAGTGTACGTTTTATTTCAGTTGCAGCGTGTATTTTGGTACACCCTGCATAAATTATTTGGAGTTTCATAGTTGAATATAACTAAATAGGTTTAAGTTGTCGTGTTGAAAATATCTTCCTTCCTTCGAGCGTCTCTCTACTTAATCAAAATTCGCAAATGTTTATCTGACCCAACTCGCGATCTTTTCACCTACTCACGTATCCTCGAAGTAAAACGAAGTCATTTAGCGAAACACTCTCACTTTTAAGTTGTTCCACCAACAAGCTGGAGCCGTATGCACACCTGATGACGTATCATTATCGCCGGTAAGATGTCGTGGCACAACTGACACTGCTGGACGGGCCAAGGCATAAAATTAGCCACGTTTTATAGCTAACATATGTCCGCTGTCAATTCGCTTTTCCTAACAAATCGAAGTTTAACGTCTGTTTCCAGCAAGCAGGGATGTCATTTTTACACGAGACGACAAGATCTCGGCTGGAAATAAATCTGCAGATTGGAATTTATATTTATTCAG